ATTTTGCATATTTTCAAGTACTAATATTAATAAACTACGTGAAATATACAATATTTGTACGATAGATTGAATTTTACATTTACAAAGCAAATTATTCTATGCTTTAGGAGTAAGTGTGAAAAACACTATGAACAAGTTTTTTTTGATATTTATTAAAGTTAATTTCCTCGGCAATAGCTCATAAGAATAAATCTTTACTCTTGAATGATAGAATATGTTATGAATTATTATGAAAAATACTAAGTCAAAATAACTTATTTTAGTTTGTAAGTGTATAAAGTGATGAACTCTTTGGAGACGAAATGAAAGTTTCGAAAAGTAACATATTCATTGGCTGTACTAATATGTATAATTATAATTGCACGATACAAGATCTATACAAGTATCGTTATATTTATTCAAAGTCGCACATAAATATACATCTCCCATTCTCAAAGGATTATACACCATCAAAAATTTATCTATATATTTTATTCAAAAATAATAAATCACATAGTCTATATTATAATGATAATGGACTATTGAATATAAGTTCAGTTTTTCAACATCATACCGTGTAAAATATTGAAGATTATTTAATTTACATCATATAAAATCAATTACTAAATCATGTCTAAAATGTTTGTCGTTACAATTAACCTTGAACAACACAATGACGGCCACGTTTTGCATTACCACCATAACACATAAGACCAGGACAGCAAGACGGTAAATCTGGTCCACAAGTCCATATTCGTGGTAGACATACGGGATTTTGTACTACTGGTTGTTGATAATGTAATGGCATTAAACGAAATAGAAGCTGCCTAGACGATCCAAATCTTTTATCAATTCGATCAGAATTTGTCTCCCGTTGATTCGCATACATATTAAGAAAATGATTTAAATCTTTGGGATATCGAAGAGGATGAGTGTATGAAAATGGTAATAATAAAATGAATATATAATAAAGAAAATTCATGTTTCCACTTGAAACTTTTCGTATGAGTAGCTAATCTAAAATAATTTATTGTGCGTTTATATACTGATGAGGGTAATTTATTTCGCAATTCTTTATGATTCACGCGGAAGTGTAAAGTAAAGAATATCTCCTACTTTTTTTTTCAGTTTGTGGAGGAGAGAACATTACAATTTATATAGGTGAGATGCCATTGTCAGTCATCAAAATATGAGGTTTAGTGATTCATACTTCAAATATCATCAAACTACGAAAGTAATATGATATAATTAGAACGTTTCTTCTTTCACATGAAACAAATACTATTGTATGAACAAAATTAAAAACTATACAAATGAATATTCTCTAATTTCTTTACCGTGGAACATAATGAAACTTAATTAAAACATTTGTAAACTTCATGAATCAGTCAGACAATCAATATACTAAACGATCAAATATTTTACTTCCTTTGCCAAATATATTGTGTGGTGATTTTCGTCTATCATACATATGCTCGGTGACACTGATGAATGTAAAAAAAATATTTATCAATCTATTAAATTTAAAACATGATACAAAAATTGTTAAATAGAAATAAAATTGAATTTTTCGTAAAGGAGAGTCCTTGTACATTCTGTTAGTAATGACAATGCAGTTTATCGATATTACGTATCAATATAGAACCTTGATAGTTAAATATTTATACAATAACGAAATTTATGTATTCTCTTAGTAGCATTCGAGTTGTAAAAAAATATGGTGTTAAGAGTATATTACACAGTACTTCACTAAAGTGAATATCAAAGGTTAGATGATGGCATTTATATAGTAAACATACTATACTTTATATCGATAATGTGTATCATTTATGATACAACAATGACATGTTTTAAATTTTCTTTGTGAATCATAATGATCTCATTTCATACGTCATTCGATAGTTGTATTCAGAAAAAAGTAATATAATCTTTCTCAAAAATTTCGTATATCAAGGTAAGCAACAAGATTCTTCGACATGCCACCATTACATAAAATAATTAAATAGATATAAACAGTTGATTATGATCTGTTTTACTTTCTTAGTATATATAATTCTATAAAATTACACATGTCTATAATGCAACTACTTTTTACACGTTATTTTTCTTTCGAACTTATAACTACTAAATAATTGTAATAAAAACAAACTGATTTATTTTATTTAAAAAAAAACATGCATGATAAGTCAGTGACTATAAACATAAAAAAATTCTTAAGATGTAGTAGTATTAAATGAAACATTTGAATCATTATCTTTTGTAAGACCAAATATATTTTCAATATCATTCACTGCTAACTAGAAATAAAGATAAATTTTCTTTTATATTTTTTACAAAAAAAAGTAATTTCGTTTACCATAAAATTACTTCGTCCTTCCACTTCTGTTTTCGCTGTGATTTCTTGATTCATAGCATTTAAATTACAAATGAAATTGGTTAATGTATTTTGTAATGTATCACTTATTGTAATCATACCAATATGTTCATGATGATTACTTTCAAGTAAAGTAAATATACTTCCTTGTCTTTCTCGAATATCAAATCCAATACCATGTGAACGACATATTTCAAAAAATATACTATAATGTATATTCGATAAATTCGTATGATATAATCTTGAACTCCAAATAGCATAACAATTTTTGTCACTAATCTATTCAAGAATTAAAATAATAATTGAATTTAAGTTTTTTTAGCTTTTACTATATATTCCGGTGCACCATTTTGCCAATTTCTTAATCGTTGTTTTGGTTGTTTCGTCTTTACTATAAATGAATGAGCTACTGAATTGAATTGTCCAGTTGTTATATATTTCATAACATGAAAAAGGGATAAATGTTCAGAATATCCAATAGATAAATCTGTAACCCATATGTTTTGTTTATCAGTTTTTCCATCAATAAATGTAATAAAATCAATATCAATATAACCATAGATATGTCTTTGTTGACATTGTTCAGCAATTAATAAACAATAGTTATTTAGTTCTTTTGGATCAATACTTGATTGTGGAAATGCTAAACCCCAACAAGAAAATTGAGATTCAGCATGAAGTTGATCACCGGAACATAATAATGAATATTGACCATTAGGTTCAATAGACAAACAAATTGTTATTGATGTTATAGAATCTGATGGGGGATATGCTTCAATAATCCCACCTTGAGATAGAAAAACTTTTAAGTAATTTGGCCAAGAATTGAATTGAGCTTTATTTACATAGATTGTATGTTTATCAAGAATATCAGGTAATTCACTTAGAAGTTTTGCATATAAATCATTCTAAAAAAACAACAAAATCAATTTAATTCTGACGATGTACGAGCGGAATCTAAATCTCATTGTAGATTTTCATTTTTAAAAACTATTAGAAAATATTTATATGTAATTTGTCAGATGTTGACTTTATTTACCTGTATTAATTTATTTGACTCGTTACTCGTACATTTTCTAGCTTCTTCCATCAACTTTTGATAGCATGGAAGATATGTAGCAATATCACAATAGGCAATACCTAATCCATCAAAGTGATCATCGATTTTAAATATCCATCGTTGAACATCAAGATGTTCAATAATTAATTGAGCTAATGATTTTAATAGATGTTGTAGATCATAGATATCATATTCACCAAAGGGCATTGGGACGTTACTGGATTTAAATATGCGTTTCGAACCTGATTTTGTTGAATATAAATAAGATACTTCAGGTTCACAACCTATGAAATTCGGTTTCTTTTTAAATAAAATTAATTTGTTTATAGAGAGAACTAACCATATATAGGAATATCAAGATATTCGGCGATGTATAGATCATCAATATGTGAGGTACCACTTACAAGATAAGCTTGTTGATTTTGTATTAAATTTTTAATTCTAAAACATTTCATCAACAAAAATAGATGTTTTTCTTTAGAATGCTATTTACTGTTTTAAAGCTTTGGGACTATATTTGAGTAAAGTAGCTAAACACATATTGTGTTTCTAAATGTTGAAAAGTAAAATTTTCGATAGAAATTTTTTTATCAACTTACAGGAAAACTATGTAGAGATTCTGGTACAATAATTTTAAAACGTTCATTTACATTATTAGGAATTGATGTCGCAGGTTGGTTATTTCCTTGTTCAACCATCACTCGTAAATTAATCTAAATTTATATAGAAAAACAAAGGTTACATAAATATTCATTTAATTGATAACGTAAAATTAAAAATCATCAATACTCTATAAAAATCTTACTAATTTATTGTAATATTGTAAAATTTCATCGTTAACAGACATTGGCGATACATAAATGACATTAACATTTGGATCATCTAATTCACATAAACGTCCTATTTGATAATTTTCTCTTAAAGATAAATGATTTAAATTGTTTCGTATACATTGTGATAAACCTAATGAAGGGATATGAACAATTGTACGACGATTAGATGATATAGATGACCATTTTTCTCTTAATTCATTTTGTTTTATATGAAAATAATCTAATTGACGTTGACGAATTAAATTTAATTGTTTACGAATTTTAGATAATTTAGAATAAGTTAACCATGCTGATTCAATTATATGAACAGCTCGTTTTCGTTTTTTTAATAATTTATAAATACATCGTGTACGAAAACCACGCCAATACGATTGAATAACAATAGCTGCTCGTTCTTTACCATTATATCCAAGAAAATGATGTTGATTCTATTTTATAGAGAAAAATCAATCCTGTTGATTATTTGATTAGTTTTATTACTAACTGTAGTGAGACGTTCTGGAATCCGTTTTTGTATTCGATTATGAAATGATTTATTTGATTGAACATTTGTTGTATTTCGTAAAGATGAATGTAATGGTTCATAAACATTAGATTCTTCTAAAATTTCAGATGAATATTTTAGATAATTGCATATTATCTACCTCTACTATACGTTCTTATTCGAAATGATGGATCATTAGTATTTGTTGGTAATGATTCGAAAGTAGAATGAGTACCTTTGACAATTGTTTCATGTCCTGCAAGCTTGAGAAGATGTTGTTTTGCATCGTCGGATGTTGATGGTATTGAATAATTCTGATAAATTATAAATACAAGTACATATTACTAGAGAATAATAATGAAAATATATATTTACAAAAGGATTTCGTCGACGTTTGAGAGGTAAAACATCAAGTGGTTCTGATGTCTTTTTTGATATATGATATCTTGGTATTGGCTAAGAAAAGTAAATAATATGTAAGACAATAAAAAAATATACAAGAGAAATTACTCTTTGTTGATGTGTTTCTATTAACGGCAATTGAAGACCTAAACTATCGTGTATTGGTTGATGATTACGCTCATTCAATGCAGCATCAATCGATACAACTGATTTGCCTTCTGAATGTTTCGAACGACTATAATTAAAAAGATTTAAACTTAAATAATCAGAATTAGTATTTAAAAACATTACGTTGAATTACGAGATTGTCGAAGTTGATAGAGTTGTTCATATATATTCTCCTCTGATGTTCGTTGATGTAATTGTCTAGTATTCAATGGATTAAATGAGAGCATTTTCAGTGCATTATCTTTTTCTTCCTGAATAAACAAAAAAAAAGAAACTTACCATGTAATTTTAATGTCTGTAAATTTATTACAAACCTTTTCATTATTTGTATTTCGATTAGCAATATCGCCATTGGATGATGGCGCTAAGGCCATCATGTTTATTTTACAAAATTAATAATCTAAAAAAACCTCAGTAATAGCTACATAACAACGCATATTATTCTATTCATACATGACAAACAATTGCGTATTTAAATAAATTTTTCTTATTCATAAAAAAATTGATGTTGTATGTTTTTTATTCTACTCTATTTTTTTTTCAATCTTGCTTTAATGCCAAAAATTTTCTAATGTATTGTTGAAGAGGACATACAAATGCTTACAATAATTTTAGTTTTAAATTCCATCTCGGGTTTATTAATTATGATTAATCTTCTAGAATATGTTTAGTATGTCAATCTGTAGTATAATATAAATATTTTCGTACATCAAGGGTTTTTTGAAGATGATATCTATTAATAGTAGTAAACATAACAAAACATTTCTGTACTGATAGGTCTAGAGTACATTTATTATTAACCAAAAATTTGATTGTATACTTCAAGTACTTTTAAGTGTCTTTCTCTAATTTAGTAATCTACTAGATATTTCATATCTTATCGTTATTTAATTGTATAAAATATTGATCTTATTACCTCAAACAGCATGCATAATTTATTATATATTAGATTAATCAAATATCATCATTTTATTCGTTCAATATAATTTCGAGAAAAATCTGAATATTTTAGACAGAAAAGGTCAAGTATATGAGAAATCTTAACAACTAAGTTTAAAACAAATAAAGGATAAAAAAAAAGAAATATAACTATATAAAGACTTTTGATTTAAATTTTAAAACCATTCAGTATGTATGATGTCTCGGTAATAGACCTCTATAAAATATATATCATATTCTTTTATATGATTCAAATGGTAGAGTCAATCAACCAATAAGTTCAATTTATTTTTAAACGTACAAAGAAGAAAAGAAGAAACGATCGATTTGTATTGAAAGTAAGCAACGATTGAGATCTTTTTTTTTACACACAATAGAAATGACAAATAATAATGTTTGACATGTAGAGGCGTATATAATACTATAATTTGTTTGGTATATAATCTAGGACACACTAGAATATTCTCTCATTACTTTTAACTTGTCATTATCAGAATATAATATAGAGATTTGTTTATTATATTATCAAAGAGTTTTTGACATGTTTTTATTCTTAGTATAAAAGAAGGACCGTATATGGAGGTTCGTGTCTAATTGAAGATTACATTATTTCTGCCTATAGATATAATTTTGATCGATCATAATCAAATTATGTTAATTATATTTACTGTCCAGACAAGATGAGTGAATGATGATGATGTTCATTTGTGGTCATTCGTTGTCTCTACAAAGACATTTGTGTATATATGCGATGATTGATCATTATTAAAGAATATGGAGTATACTGTGATTGCATCATCTTATCATAAGAGGTCAACTCACAGATAGACGTCGAGCTAATTATTATTGAATGAACAGAAAGTGACAGCTGTTATTCTCCACTGACCCTGAGACATTTCTTTCTCCCACTCCCTCTCTCCCCCCTCTCTCTCTCGTTTTCTCTTTCTATCTATAATCATCGATTGAATGAATGATAGATCTATTCACTTGTAGATTTCTATTTTATCAATGAGAATGTTCGGCTCTTATGAACATCAGCCACCATCGCCAGCCTTATCTTCATGTGATATGGAGTCAATAGATGAAATGCCACCTCCATCAGCATCATCACAATTGTCAATCAATGAAGATTTAACAATATCGAATCGATTAAATATAACAGCATTACAAAATTCAGTTTCACTTCGTTTTAAGGTTAGTATTAATTCTTAATTGTATAAAGTTCCTTTTTGAACAATCATCATCTTCTGATGTTTTCTATTTAAGAAAAAACGTAAACGTAAACTTGAGCCAGATACAGTATCACTTCGGTCACTTGAAGATCTTGTTGGTGATCATTTTCGAAGAAAAAAACGTCTTTCTCTACCACGTTTATCATCTGTATCAGAATTACTAAGTCCAATGTGTGATCGTGTTATAAATATGTTACAAACAACAAAACAATCATCATCAGCTAATCTTAATAATCTTTTGAATAGTAATAATAATAATAATAATACTAGTCATGGTTATAATATAAGACGAAAAGCATCATCATCATCACAACAAACATCAAATGGTGTATCATCACCGAATACAATAAAAAAGTTTCGGGCAGCTTGGTCAGAAACTTGTGATGGTGAAAAATTAAAACAAACAATGACAGCAACAGAAATTGAACGACAAAATGTTTTATATGAATTATTTTCAGAAGAACAACAAATGATTGAAAATTTAGGTTTAGCACAACGAGTAATTGTTTATATTTAAAATAAAGAAAAATGAATTCTTGTTTTTTGTAAATAGGTTTATCGAAATGGTATGAAAACATTAAATATTCTTACAGATTTGGAATTAAAACAGATATTTGGACCATTGGAGGATATTTTACCATTGCATGAAGGTAAAGTTTTATTTATATATAGTAATTAGATTTGGATTCAACAGACTATGTCTGAATCTTGGTCCTTTGCTCGATCATGTGTATAGTAACCGAAATTTCGATTCGCACACTCGAAAAAAGAAACCTGGATAAAACACTGATTAGTATTAATTCTTTAAGTCTTTTAATTGACATGAAAAATATATGTTCGTGCTTAGGCTGTACTTGAATGAAATGTACACATGTTATGCAATACATAGGATTTTTTTATTTCTTAATAATTAACTGAGAAATTATAGTGATATTTGTTCAGTACATTTATTTCGTCTAAGATTTATTTTATATTTGCATAGAGAAATAAGAGCGAAAGAGAGCGATATAGATTGTTAGCGGAGAAATAACGTGATTAGATATATATATTTATCTTTCTTTTCTTTTCTCTTTATTACATAACTGTGACTACGGTTTTTTCTTTTCTATAACGCATGTGCAATCGTTTTAAATGCGTATTTTATTAAGAGAAAATCGAGATTATATAAATAGTAGATGAAATAAACTTTATATATCTATTCTTTTACAGATCTTCTTTATCGTTTAAAGCCAAAAAGTAATTCATCTATTGATGCTGTTGGCCAAATCTATCTTGAATGGGTATATTTTTATCATTTAATTTTCTTCTTCTACTTTTTTTCTAATATCGAATAATTTAGTTTCAACGTATTCGATCATGTTATGTATCATATTGTTCGAATTTAATTAATGCTAAAGAATTATTAGATGCTAAACGATGTGAAGAAAATGGTCGCGTTGATGATTATCTTAAACGATGTACTGATTCAGGTTTTAGTCGTAAACTTGATTTATGGGATTTTCTTGGTTTGTAGAAATTCTGTTCATAATATTTTTAATACAAATTTTTTAAAATTTCTAGATCAACCACGAAGTCGTTTAATGAAATACCCAATTCTATTCAAACGTATTCATAAACGAGTAAGATTAAAGACATATATATACATACACAAATAATAGTTTCACATTTTCTATATAATCGAATAAAAACAATTTCAATAGGTTTTTTTTTCGGATAAAAATGTGAGAAAGAAAATCATTAACTGTACTAAAATTGAGTATTTTTTTTCTTAATTAATACTCTCAGACATACGGTAACAAAATCTTTCGAATTTATTTTTTAGACTAAAGATGGACATGAAGATAAACGAATATTACTTGAAACAATAAATATTGTTGAAGAATTAATTAACGATGTTAGTCAAGCAACATCTGCTCAAATTTGTTCAAATATTATTGCAAAACTTGTTTATACTAATGATGATCAAGTATATAAAGATGAATTTAAATTCAATAGAAAAAATATTTTTCTTTCGTTTTTAGAAACATTTATTAATTGAAAAACAAACACGTTTAGTCTGTCAAGGTGAATTAAAAAATAATCGTGGTCAAGTATGTTGTTTTTCTTGTGCTTTGAAAAAAGAAATTTTTTTGTTTTATTTAGAAATTACATGTATTTTTATTTGATGAAATACTTTTATTTACACGTATTGCTACACGAAATGATATTAAATCTTATCAATTAACAAATTATCCAATACCTATTGAATATTTACGTATTGAAGATATTGAAGATGGTGTTAAAATACCTGAATTATCATCAGGAAGTTTTTCAAGAACATTAGCCGGTTCGAAATTAGGTAAAACAAAAATTTCTGAGATAATAATCAAATATTCTATATGTGGAATTTTAGCTCGAAATGTATTTCGTTGTTCATCATTATCAGATAATAATAATAATCGAAATAATTCAATCTTATTACAAGCACGTGATATCTATGATAAACAACAATGGTTAAGTGCTTTTCGATCAATAATGACTATCAATGGATAATGATAATAATCATCAGATCTTATTCTATATATTAAAATTATTATTATTATTTTTGTTTGTTTGTTTGTTACTTCTGTATAGAAATATCTTTTTTTTGTTTTTTTTCTATATATCTTTGACTTAATTATCGTTGAATATCAACGAAAGAAAATAATATAGTAGTAGTATGTTTTACTAATTAATTTGGTTATTTTGTCTACCATATATATTTAAATAAGGGTATTGTTTACAAAATTAATCATTAGAATTTTACTTTCTTATGTTAGTTGTTAAAAGAAATCTATTCCAGAAAAATATTTCTATTGATAATAACTTATATTCATCTAATCAAGCTGATTTTATTATTATTATGTGTAAAACATCAATGAATAAATATTTATTATCAAAATAGTCATGTAACTTAGTGAGCAAAGTTATTTTTTACTTAATTCGGATAAAAAGATATAAATAACAGAGATATATGGTTTTTAAGAAAAGAATTTTAAAGTCTACTGACTAACACAGTTCTCACTACCCATTCGATCATTTCACCAAAGTACAGATGTCACTAATTTCTTGCAAAATTTACCTTGGTTTGGTTATATGTCAGCCAGTGCTTTTAGTTTACATGTGGCTTATCTGAATCATCATAACATTTTTTGAAATATACATACGTGTTCTCTTTACATCTATTACAGTCAAAAACCATGCATTCTGCAGGTAAATTATGTAACTATTCAAATCTTTTTTATGTATTTCTCTTTTGTAAAGATGATCCAGTACATCGCTCAAAAAATCATTTTCATCCATCGACAGGTTAGCATTTCTTCATTTAACTATCGATTTTCATATTTTCTATTATCTCTTAGCTCAAGCATCGAACGGTTATGAAGGTGATTACACTGTGCCACACACTCGGTCAGCTCCATCTCAAAATGCATTTTTTTCACCACAATCAGCATTTTATTCTTCATCATCTCAACAAACTATACCGACAAATCAAGTAGCCTCTAGCATGGAACTTCTATCAAATAATCCGTTTCTTAATGTTGGTATTAAAGCTGTTGGAGATAGTATGAAGGATATAACAGGTAAAACTGTTAATATGTTACCCAATGAAGTAAAAAAGAAAGAAATATTTTTTTCTGAAGTTTTTATATAAATTTATTTTAAATAATTTAGATGAAAAAATCTTTATCATCAATAAAAGATTATTTTGCTGTTGATCAAATTTATGTTATGAAAAAACTCTCTTTACTTTTATTTCCATTTCGACCACGAGTAAATTTTTAAAATCGTATATTGAAATATTTGATTTTTTTCTCGTCATAGAATTGGTCAGTTGGTTATAGTGCAGATGGACCAGTTCCACCTCGAGTTGATACAAATGCACCAGATTATTATATTCCATGTAAGATAAACTTTATATCGCAGCATCTTGAGGATTAATTCTCTTATAAATTGATTTTACTTTAGAAATTCATAAAAAAATAATGAATAATTTTGTTTTTAGTAATGAGTGTTATGACTTATGTTCTTGTTGCTGGCCTTGTGCTTGGCACCCAAAATAGGTAAAATCTATAACTTGATTTTCTATATAAAAAAATATTTTATTATTATTCATTTAAGATTTACACCTGAACAATTAGGCATGCATGCATCATCAGCTCTTGTGTGGAATATAATTGAAATTGGTCTTCTATGTTTGACATTTTATATCTTAAATATACAATCAAAATTACGTACATTAGATTTAATTGCTTACTGTGGTTATAAATATGTTGGAATGATAGCTGCTTTATCATCATATTTAGCTACACATTCATTATTTGTTTATCGTTGTTCACTTTTATATGTTAGCATTTCATTATCTTATTTTCTTGTATGTACCTTTTTTTTCAAAATAATTCTCTTTCATTGAAAATCTTTTATATCTGTAGATAAAATGTCTTCGATTAAAAATATTACCTGATACCAGTGGATCTCATACATATAATGCAAATGGAAATGCACGTCGGGTTTATTTACTTCTTGCAATTGTTCTTATTCAACCATTATTTATTTGGTACTTAACTCGACATTTAATTGTTACGTAAAACAAAACAAAAAAAATTATAATTCAATTGTTGTTTTACATTTATTTTTTTTATTTTATTTTATTCAAGTTGTTTTATTTTTTTCAGTATATTTCAAGTAAATAAAAACTGGAATATTTAAAAACTTATTCAAATCAATGACAAATGCTAATATTTTACTTACACAACATAGAAATAAATTGTTTGCTTGTCTGTTTGCAGGGTCAAAAAGACATTTCTGGAAGTATTTCGATGCGAAGACTTCAAATGAGCGCCTCATTTGCTCAGACTAGTGATGGCGGAGGGTTGTCAATTGGGAGAAGTGACGTGGACTTATGGAAACCGAGTGTTTGGGTAATGCAGTTGTATGGGTATCCAAATGTTTCCCTACTTGTAGTCGGAGCGTGGCGACCGTAAACTGTTGGCTTTCTTGCGTATAAGGTTACTAACACTTCTCTTATTCGTCAAAGGGTAGTTCGACAAGCCACTGGTGCCGGCAGCCCTAAGATGTTTTGGTCTACGTTTACCTCTGAGCAGGATTCGAGTAGGTGCTAAGAGTAACGTTTTCAATTTTTTCCCAGTAAATGTGAAGAGGATGCATTTCTACGAGAAAGAGCTAAGTAAGTCCTCGGACGAGCGTTCTTGTAAGAATAATTGCGGTTTTAATAATTATGCAGTTGTTAAAGTTAATACAAGAAAAGCAAAATTAGTTTTATTACGAGCGTTTATTATTTTCGTGTAACACTTGCTTCCAAACGTTTACGTTTACCATTTGTTTTAGTTGAATTATTTAATTTCTTTCGTTTCAAATGTTCAATCTCTCTATCGAGATACGACGTGAGACTATTATTTATAATGGTATTATTATCATTATTTGGTGGCCTTATTGATATCTTTGATCTATTATTAACGACATCAGTTTTTTTTGGTATTCTTGGTAAATACGAAATCGATTGGTATGGTATTGGAAGATCATTTTCGGGTAGCCTTTGTAGTCGAACATGACAATTATAATTCAGTTGCTGAATTGGTAATAGGAGATCATCCACAGATATCCTTTTCAAAGGAACGTAACAATCAAAGTTAACCTTTTCAATTGGCAATGGGTATTGGTTGACTGTCTATGACTAATGATGATAATGACGATAATAATGAATCGAGTATAGATGCAGGTTCCATATCGTTACTATTACGTGTACTATCGGATGTCCATAATAAGTCATTAATTGAAGTATAATCTATCGTGGATAACCATGTTAGATCATCGAACCAGCTGTTATCGATAATAGCTTCACCAGAAATAATTTGTGATTCACTTGCCATCTCTGCATATACGTTTACTTTTACTGTTAAAATATTAAAAGTGAGGAGCTGTCTATAAGAAAAAAAATCATAAATTGAAGAGAATCAAAGTCCTATAGTCGATATAGTTTCAGTCTCTAAACTACACATCATAAAAACACACATTAGTGACATTATCGAGTATTTGTAAAATTAAACTGATTAACTGTGTCATTAGTTTAAATCTTAATTAAGAAATCTTTTCTCTTTCTCGTAGACAAGAGCCCAGTAAACATAAATTATTTGTTTGCTTGTGTGTCCGCAGGGTCAAAAAGACATTTCTTGAGGTATTCCGATGCGAAGACTTCAAATATGCGCGTCATTTGCTCAGACTACTGAAGGGGGAAGGGTGGCAATTGGAAGAAGTGACGTCGACCGATAGTAATCGAGTTTTCTGAGTATCCAAATATTCCCTTAGTTGTAGTGCAGAGTGTTGCGCTCATAAACTATTAGCTGTCTTGCGTATAAAATTACTAAAACTTCACTTATTCTTTGAAGGCTAGTTCGAGAAACCACTGGTGATGACAACTCAAATATATTTTGATCTGAATTTACCTCTGAGCAGGATGCGAGTATGTGCTAAGAGTAAGAAACAACAAAGGAGAGCAAGCTTTTCAATTGTTTTTCCAGCAAACGTGAAGAGGATGCATTTCCACGAGAAAGAGCTAAGCGAGTATTTTAACGATCAAATTGTTCTCGCTTCTTCTTCTTTTTCCTTTTTATTTTTTGTTCTATTTGAAAGAATATTATCTGCAATAACATTCTTTCATGTCGTTTCTTTTATCTTTTTTCATATGCATATTCTGTTTTTGATACGGACGATATATTTTCGTGTTATTTTCTCTAGCAGTTGTCTTTTTCTTTCTTTCAAATATACAGTTTCAAGGGCATTATCTCACACACTATATATAAAGAGTTCACAGAGTCCTCGGACCCCCGTTACTTGTTAAATAAAAATAATAAAATAAATTTAAAAAAAAGAATTCTTTTAATCAATTATGTTTCAAATATTTTCTTCTTTCAATATGTTTTAAATTATTGTCCTTATTGAAAAAGTTCTCTGTCAAAGTGAACTTGTCTTACCTGTGAACAAAAGATTATTGTTAGATCAGTGGTTATATTTGTCTATATATGTGCATATGTGTATATATTATTTCTCTTCTTTTTTTCCATCGTCGCAAATATAGACAATCTAAACAAAAGAAAAAATATGGCAACTAGTTCAATAAATGATATTGAAATGGATCGTTTTGGTTCAGCGATTGACTTTTTAGCAACAACAGGTCTTGAATCATGTATCAGTTTCCTTATCATATTAGATAAAGGAAAAAATATATTTATTGAACATTGAACTGCTATTTCTCTGCCATCTGAAATGAATATGAAAACTATTCGTTCCTGTTTGGAAAAAGTTGCTAAACATTGTTCTGATACAACACCTCAGTTGACAATAACGTAAGTTTATCAAACATATGACTTACAGAATCACAGTAGTATTTCTCTCTCAGCATGTACGCGCATTGAAAAGAGAGCGAAAGAGAGAGAAAAGAAAGATATCACTATGGTTCTTGATATAGAATCTTTTATTTAAAAATTTGAATAAACGTACCTATGAAATTACTTCGTAAAACTTACATAAGATCAAAAGTTTCTAATCAGTTGATGTAACGAATATTTCTAAATAAAAAGAAACTTATTTAAATAAATATATGCATAGAGCTGTCTTCATATTGGATGGAATAAATATTAAAAGACAATATACGGAGCGTCAAAATATCATCAATGAAATGCTTCAAAATGATGTTACTATGGATGATTCTAAACAATTATCTAATATTAAAGAATTATTAAAAAATATTAAATTTCATAATACAATGTTTAACATGGGCACTGCAAAACCAGAAGATATTAGCGAACCTAACATTGATTTAATTGTTGCTCAATGTTCACAAAATAATCCAAAGATCGGCATTGTTTAAAATGAAACAAAGTTTGAAACATCAAATGTAATCGTTAGCGTTTTATCCATCTAGCTCGAGAACATGAAAAGCCAATATATGATCAACATGCCTGAAATACAAAATAATCATAGTAAAACAAAATATGTTTTTAATATTTAATGATAAAAATGATTTTGAGAAAAACTTGAGAAGTGAGAATATGAAAGTTTATATAACCATTAAAACCTATCATATTATTGCACTGACGGTGAGTAGCACTATTTGTTTATCTTCAAGAAATTCTACTGATATTTACGTCAAGAAAATAGTGTATCAAGATATTACAGTTGGTTACAATCTATTTTAAGAAACATGAATTTTATTTCTACTAATCTTATATTAGAGACCATATTCTAATTGAAGTTTAGTATATTTTTTTAATCTATTTTAATTTATAGGAGGCATTGCACCTAAGACACGACTAGTTACAGCAGAACGTTGCTCAATGAATGTCACTGATTTGGCTGATATTTTCACAGTAGTTAGGCATAAGTGTTGTAAGAATAACCTGAAAATTATATCATATTCGAGATCAGCACAAAAAATACACTAAAAAACATATAATTGATGCAATAAAACATTTTACAAAAACTCACTTGTAGGAGTCCTCACCCAGTTTTTAAAGGAAATAATTACTGGAAGGTACCACAGGTAAATTTTCATAAAAAGCTTGAAGCGTCAACTACGTTTTTCTAGTGTATTTTTTTGTGCTGATCTCGAATATGATAAAATTTTCAGGTTATTCCTACAATACTTATGCCCAAGTACTGTAAAAATATCAGCCAAATGGGTGACATTCATTGAGCAACGTTCTTCTGTAACCGGTCGTGGCCTAAGTGCAATGCCTCCCAGCGCAATTGCACAGTAATGTTTAATTTTATTTATTTTTTCTGCTAGTTTGTTTATAGAAAAAAAAGCAAAAAAAAAAGAACAAAAAAAGATCTCTTATCCCTTTCCCATGATAATAGGAAGACGTTCAAGTGCTCTTAAACATTCATGTTGTAAACGGTATCGTTCTAGTTCTTGTTCAATTCGACTGGAATCAAGATTAAAATAACGAGCAAATTGTAAAAAATAATTTAACGATGTTTCTTCTTCTGTCCATGTTGAATAATCATCAATATAACAATATAATGATGCTAAACGTTGATAACTTGGAGTTATAGAACTTTGACTATTGATTTGATCATTGAGAAATAATAAAAGCAGTAAATAAATTGAAAATCTATACATTTTTAATAATATTTGATTAATCAATCATAAAGTTTTGCTAATGTAAAATTCTAAAGTATTACGATGAATGTTTATATACATGTATAAATTAAATAAATGTAAAGTATTGTCTGAGATATCACTCTCATATACTGAAGCAGTTATAATAAAAACAGAAACTATATATATAGTGTTTTATTAGAATGTTCTTATAGTTGATTTCAATATAAAAATAAAACTATGTATGCACTTGTTAATAATAAAAATAAAAGAATTTTATGAGAATATAATAAAATATTCTATGAGATGTCTCGAATACTTTAAGTTTATTTTAAGTACTGCATTTTTTCTGCATCATATATGATCTATTGTATATTTTATAACAAATAAAAAGAATGTCTATTCTATGAAGTTAACTTCTTTATTTTTCTGAAATTATTAACGCAAGAATAATATATATATGCTATTCTAAAGATTATACTAAATAATCTTCGAGAATTAATTTGTCTGTATTTATTTAGGTATTACTACTTCCTTTGTTACTTGTCAAATAAGTTTATTAAAAGAATAAGACTGTCTATCATTAAGAAAAGAGAACATTTAATGAAATATTTCAAAGTAAAGAAAGTTGACAATGCAGAATACTTTGAAGAATTAACTACCTAGGAAAATTTATCAATCATTTTTCTAAACTATTTCTACATGGTGACTAATCTTTTATTTATGCCTGTAACAGTATAATATTGATTGGGATAATTAAAAGAATGCCTGGCTATTGTAAGACAAAAGAAGTCATGACAGATATATAAGTCATTCATCATGAATAGTATAAATTTTATTATGTCTTCTTTTATAGTGTTATTATAGAACTTGAATGTGTAGGCAGCTGCGTAAATTCTAAACACATCTCTTCAGTTTTACACTAGTCTGACATGAGAGATACTCATGGTCATATGTGCTCTACATTGAAGTTTATTCTCTTTTGATCACGGACATAATATGAAAATATATGTACTCAATCCTTCACTTAAAAAGTCAAATTAAACCATTTGAAGAACATTAAGAAATCCGCGTGACATCCTACGCATATATAAAAAAAAAGGTTTTGAATTTATATTTTTCTGTCACTTCTACGGAAAAATACTTCGATTTAAGAAATTATCTACTTTATTAGCAAACTTTTACATAAATTCTTTTATCATTCTGCTCAATTTGCCATCAATCGAAACTAAACAGAGACAAAATTATTACGTCTGTTATGTGCTATATATTCTTAGTTTTCTTTTGTCTATTCAATTAGACAGCAGATATAATTAATTTTTTATGTCATTAGAGAATCGAACCAGTCTTTTAAATTCATTATTATTATAATAAACTGTTTAGAGAAACGAAGATGTTCAAAAATATAATTCTAAATATGATCATTCATAGTTTGTCATGTAATTTTATTTACCAATTATATACATCTGTATGTATTGATTATATCAATTGCTAAGAAAAAAAAGTCACGCACATTATAACATATTGTTTTTTACTATTTTTACTACTACACATATGTTTGCATATGTTTATTGCAAAAAAGACAAACCAGAAATTATGATAAATTCAAAATAATGATTTTTCTTTTTTTCATAAATAATAGTTCACTGCGGTCATCTTAAAAGATTATCAAGAACCAATGCAATTAATCTCATACGTTCGTAAAGTACATTTTTTTTCTCTTAATCGATTAAATGAGTGAGAAAAGAACAAATTCTTTTATTCTTTTTTTGTATTACCATCATGATTCCTTTCTTCATATATTTAGATCAAAAATTAGTAACATCGTAATATGACGTTGTTTCAACATGAGTTTATTTAATCGTAAATATATTGCACCACCATCATCACCAATCATATCCAATACTACTAGAATTAGGTCTGCATCTTTAGCAACTAATTCTACATATGGACGAGGATTTTTTGAACCAGGTGCTTATTCTATTGTTTTAAAACGATGTGAAAATGGACATGATCTAGCTCAACAACTTGCTGATATGTTTGATGAACGAGCACAAATTGAATTAGCTTATGCAAATCAATCACGTCATTGGTCATATAAATGGCGTAATGAACTATCAAAATCTCAAGAATATGGAACAAATAAAAAAGTTTGGGATCAACTTGCAACAACTGGTAAGATATTTTCTTTTTCTTTGTATTATAATCAAACAATTATCAATAGGTGAACCAATGGCTTATGTTCATTCAACTTTATCGGCATCATTAAGTGAATCATTGATACCAAATCTTCGACAATGGCGTAAGGAACATTATGAAAGATATTTATTACATTATAAAAAAACAAAAGAATTTGAACGAGATTTTCTTGATGCACAAAAATCTTGGAATAAATTATTAGATAAAATATCTGAATGTAAATCAATGTATTATTCAGCATGTAAAGCATCTAAATTAGCTAGTGAAGCTGAAAATAAATCAATTTATTATTTAGCATGTAAATCATCTAAATTAGTTGATGATGCTGAAAGTAAATCATCAGGTGAACAACGAAAAAAATTAGCCGATAAAGCTGATACAGCAAGACGTGAAATTGTTTTTACTAGAACAAAATATCAACAAGCGATTAATGAAGCTCGAGAACAACGACCAAATTATGAATCAACAATGAAAACTATTTTTGAACGTACACAAGCTTTTGAAAAAAGACGATTAGATTTCTTTAAAGAAACATACGATGAATATGCAAAAATATTAGAAATAGCAACAATAGATAAGTAAGACATTAGTTAATGAACATAAAAAAGTATTTTTATTTTGTTTTTTCTAGTTCAATTTTGAAAACAATGAATGCAAATTTTAAAGCTTCTCTATTAGTACATGATTCTTTACAAGATTTAATATGGTGGGATCAAAATTATGGTATATTATTTTTTTTTTCATGACGTTATATACGATATATTTTCTTATTATATAGGTACTCAAACAAATAGTAGATGGCCAGAGTATGAAGAATATATTGATTAACTAGATACTTCAATTTTAATGTATTTAATATGTCACACTAATTATCGTTTTTAAAATCCATCATCTATGTAGAATTGTAGCAAATATAAATAATAAACTCTATACTTTGTAATTATTTATCAAAATAGTTTTACTACTTCTTAAATGACAATTCATTTATTCTTCACTATTTTGTTTTGATATCGATTACGAAAGAGGATTGTCAACCATGTTCCAGCAAAGATTAAATCCATAATAATTTGTCCTTTAACATCTTTTTGTAATGTTTGAACTTGAGCTTCAACAAATATTCTCCAACTGGCTAATAATACATGGATTAAAATACAACCTTTAGAAAAATATCTACATTGAATAAATAAAGAAATGTTTCAATAATAAATCTTTGATTAAATTTTTACCGTTGAAATGCTATGTCCTCAAGATAAGATATCATATAAAGAAGAATACCAATAAAGATCAGCATCATGCCAACTAAAGATTCTGATGTTTGTATCAATCGAGATTTCTCATCGTCATCAGTTAAGTGTAATTTTTTTGTCACTTCTTCAACATGTGCTAAACGAGAAACTGTACTTATACTAAGCACCATAGATGAACCCATCATAACATTGATGCAAGCATGAAATAAACAGATGATGCGAAATAATGACCATGATGTCATGTTGTATATTGAAAATGATATACTACTACTCTAATGTCAAATGATGATTAGCATTACTTTTATTTTTGTTCTTTCTTTTTTTCTATGTATATAGGAGCGTTTTTGGCCAACAGGAGCAAATGTACAAGTCTCCATTACGAGATTTAATAAATATAGATGTCTTAAACTATCTCTCTCAGTTCAGTTATAATTTATGTAATTAAATCAAAGGAAATTAGCTTTATTCATTTGTCACATATTATTTGAATAAGAGAAACTTTTCGTTTTAGCATTTTCTCAAATATATAATTAAACGAATTTAAATTTATTAAATATTAACCAAAAATATTACAACAGGATATGCATATTTAAGATAGTTAACTAATGTGAAGAGATGAAGTGGAAGACAAAGAAAATCGGTGATTTTGCCCAGAAAAAACACGAGTATATATAAGTAGAATTGATAAAGAGAAGAAACAAATGTATGACAGAGAAAGATAAAGCTATGTAACACCTTCTTCTCTGAACCAAGAGACCGCCCTGATCCCCAAAAAGAATTAATATAAGATAAAAAAAAGCACGAACGAATGAATGTAACACGGAGAAAACCAGAAGAAAAGAAAAACGTATATTTTTTTTGTAAAGTGTCAATTGATTTCCGATAATACCATAGAAAACCAACAGCCGTTCTTTCCACTTCCACTGACGTTAACGAGTCAATACAGGTTTCATGTCGGAGATTATTGCATATTACCATTACTTATAAGCTGATTTATTGATAATAATAGTTCATTTCTGAGATCAGCATGGTCATAAGGTTTATCCACTTTACTATCTGTAAAGTCTTTTAGGCAATCACATAACGCCACTGTATTTATATTTCCTCCATCTACACATATATCTAACGATTTTATTATGTAAATATCTCTTTCAGATTCACAAACTATTTTATACATTATCGTCAATTTTGCTGATGGCAGTTCGACATCTTCACGAAAGTTTATTTCTGTATAGCATGTATAGCATGGAAACATTTTCTATCTTCAATTAGATGATCTTATATTGTGGTCTGCTTCAGATTTACAGTTGTCCCAGTAGTTCGTATTCACTTATATAATTCGTAATTCTTGACGTTGCTCGGCTTCTTCAAATCAGTAATTCTCGACGATTTCGGTTACTTGATATCCAGTAACTCTCGTTGTAACGTTGATTTTTACAACAAGCTGATGAAGGTTCCCGTTAAATAATGTGAAAAGATGAAGTGGAAGACGAGGAAAATCGCTGATTTTATTCAGAAAAAAACACGAGTATATATACCCAATGAAAATATGTCAAATTATACTTCATTATGTCAGATTATAATCGAATTTTTGGGCAACAGAATTAGGATTATAATCGATTGAAATCTTTCAAATCAACAATAATTCGATTTCTAATTAAACAATAATCTCGTAAATCAAATATAATTTTGATTAAAATCATACAAACTTGATTTACTTTATTTTTAATCAGAACTACATGATTTTAATCAAAATTATATTTGATTTAGAAGATTATTTTTTGATTAGAAATCGAATTATTGTTGATTTGAAAGATTTCAATCGATTATAATCCTAATTTTGTTGCCCAAAAATTCGATTATAATCTGACATAATAAAGTATAATTTGACAATTTTTTACCGAGATATATAGATGAAATTGATAAAGAGACGCAAGACATGTACGACAGATCAGAAAAAAGTGTATGAGGGCAAAAGATGCAACTAAGTAGCAAAGGTCAAGCGCAACATATTTTCACGTTTTCAATTGCTTTATTCTATAGGACTGTTTCATCTTTTTTTGTTGTCATATGCAATGAATAATATTCTCATCTGTAAATAAGTATTTATGTAAAGAATGATATCATCATTGTTTCGTTCGTTTTTCTTCTTATTATGAATATGGTACTCAAATAATTGTATAAGAAACATTCATTTTCTGATACACACGTACATTTACATTTCATCGTTATCTTTACATTCTCTTTTTTCTTGCGGCTCTTTATTCTCAGATATACCCAATTCATTTTTCGTATATCATTGCTGTTGATTGTATCTTGGGTATTTGTACATCATATCAATCGATCTTTAAAATATACAACTCATGGGTGCTAAATTAGGTAAAAACACACATACAACAATCTCGAAAAAATTAAGTGGACAAGAAAAAGAAGCAACTACAGTTTCAAACAATCATTATCTTAAGAAAGCATCAACACTTGAAAGAAAAACAAAAAAGAAGGAACATGTTTCAAATAAAAAATCAGCCGATGCAGTGATGGACAAATATACAAGCACAGACGGTGATATAATACCATCATCAGCATATATTAGAAAACTTGTTATTGGTCCTGGATGTAATCTATCCTATGATTCTCTTAATGGTCTAACAACTTCACGTCGTCAATCCGATGCACCAAGTAAAGATGTACTAGAATTTCGAGATGCATGTATTCGACGTGGTATTATTTCACGGGATACAGCTTGTTCTATTATATCAACTTGTAATGAAGAAGAAAATCAAGTGGATACGGTTGAACAATCTACAAATGAGAGAATAACAACAACAATAACGGTCGTTCCCAATAGTAAACACGAAACTGAAAGTGAACAACAAGATGAATTACAAGCAAGTAATGAATGGTAACTAGAAGAAAATATTATATTAAATAAACATAAATTTTCTTTTCTGTTTATAGATGATTAAAACAAATATCCATCGAATATCTTATTAAATAAACAACATACATCGTTCTTTTAGCATTATTTTGTGCTTATTATTTGTTTTATATTTTAATAGAACATCTTCATCCTCATTAAATTATTTTAATTTGTTATAAATTGAAATATTCAATCAGATAAAATATAATAATTATTACTAATACTCTATGTATCTCAATTCAGAATCGATATAAAATCCGTAGTTTGTGTTAAGCTTAATGTAAACATTTGTCGATAAAAATAGAACAAAGTTGTTATGTTACTAAGAAGTATCGAAAATGTTAAGCCATTAGTTCTATCAAGCAAGAGAAATATGAGGTATAATCAGATTTTATTACAAAAAGAAAATGAAATAAGTTCTATTAGAATGACTGAGTTAATAGTAGTCATTAATTAAACTAATTATAAATTTCAGAGAAGATATTTTTACTTCAAGAGAGAAAAAAAAACAACTATTTTTACTTATAAATTATAATGTACTTCTTTTGATGCCATATTTCTTATTCACAAAATATTCTCATTTTCATCATACAATCACGTTTATTATTTATGATTACATTTTTCATATGAATGTGTACTGTCACTGGTATTTTTTCTTTTTGTATTATTCTAATATATAGTTGTTTTAAATATTTCATCTCTCTTCTTCTTTTCATAAGATAATAATCACCAAATATATATATAAAAGACAACAAAAAGTATAAGGCCGAAAAAGGAAAGAAAAACACCAAAAAACAAGAAACAAAATTGATTCATACCATCAACATAGAAAAGAAACGAAAATATTTGTTAAATTAATAATAATAAATGCTAATTTAGCGTGTAAATTCTCGTACAAATAATGTCTCCAGTAAATAATATTATTGCCATTATCGACTTCGATGACATTATGAGCGTAACGTGACCAGCACGTATATTAAAAAAAGAAAACAACAATGAAAGAAAAACAAAAGTCGATGGGAGACACTTATTTTTGAAGTTATTCAAGACGATAAGAGATGTGATCATGCTGTTGGTTATGCAGAACTAGGTGTAGGCGATGTGGGTATTGTTTCAACAACAATAGTAGGTACTGGTATTAAAGGTGACGATTGCACTTCTTCAGCTCTTGTACCTGATCCCAAACGATATTCTTTGCCTCTCCATCTAATCGTCGATGAGCCCGTAAATGCTTTAAAATAGATGTAAAATGATGAAAGTTCACGAACAAGCCACGCTATTGCAAATTCAAATTTCGAAAAAGGCAATGGACCACCCTAGAAAACAAAGAAAAAATATAATAATAATAATTATTAAAATTTTATTTCATTGTTTTTTCTTCTTGTTTATTGTAGTTACATACTTGTGTTATTCGAAGCATAAAATAATCAAAAAGAAACCATAGCAAAATATGACAAGCAGCAACAACAAGAGCATTCCATTCAAATAAATAATTTGTAACAATACCAGCTAATATTGCTGAAGAAAAACATTCTTGTAATGGTTCTATATAAGCTAATGGACTTAAACGCATTCTTAATTTACACCATCGAATCATTCGTTCAATCCATATTGATAAAGAATAATCACCAGAATTTTGTAGAGCCGGAATTGGCGCTACACGTATTTTCCAACCTTGTTTAGCTACTTCATATGCAATATAGTAATCTTCAGCTATATAATTACCAAAAGCTTTTAAACCACCCACTCGATCAATAGTTTCTTTCCGGATTAAGCATGACATTCCCGTTACACAATTTATACCAATAAAATTTATTGTCATATACATACGAGCATGTTGTGTACCAAAATAAACCTATAGAAAAAAACAAATTCTATTGACACGTGACAATTCAATGTTTTCTTTTTTTTTTACCTTTTCAACTGATCCAGCAAAACCTTTTCTATCACAGGTAAATGGCATTTGATGAACAAGGCCAACATCATCAATCATGCATAAGGCCATATCGTATAGTGTATCTTCACGCATCATTAAACCACTATCTGATATTAAAAATAACGGATATTGAGCTTTTTCATATGCTGATAACATATTAAATATTTTCGGATTTTTTATGTCTGTTGTTTCTGATTTGGATAATTCATCACCGGGTGAATATTGTTGTGAACCTATTTTCAAAAAAATTAAAACCAATTTATATAAATATTATTGACTACGATTTAAAATATTTTCCTTTTCTATGTATTTGCATGAAAAGATTCATTTTCACATTCTTGACATAGATGATGAATTATGATTTTCCTGATCATTGTCATCAGTAATTTCCTTTCTCTATTTGAGTTTTTTTTTCAATAACTATTTTATATTGATATACATACCAACAAATAATTGTGATTCAACATGTGGATATTGAGCTCGAAGTCCTTCGACCATATTAATCAAGTCATTATTATGCTCTTGAACACAAAAAAGTATTTCATACTAAAATAAACGAATAAAAATTATTGATTAAGGAAGTAAATTATTTTCATACACGAGGATATTTGATATTAAAAAATGTTTTTAAATTTTCATATAGATTTGAATCAATACATGTTAACGGTTTAATAATTGAAATTCCTGGTAATTCCTTGAGATTGTTTGACACTGTTCTTCGATGAAATTTGTAATACCTAAAAATAGAAGTTTGTTTGTATTTATAATCTGTTTTCGTTACTTCGAGTAAGAATGACTTTCAAGTAGTTTTCACCAGAATGAATCAAAGAAGTTTATTAAATAAACATGTCTACGTCCTTCACTGAGAACATAATGTCAATCGATTTCTTTTGTAAATTTATTTTAACCTCACTTTTCAGTCTTCTTTTGATCATAAATAATAATAAAAAAAAACATTTTTCTTTTTAATATGATCACTGTTTTTATTTTACGTTCAATGTGTAATATGAAAGATCAGAATTATGGATACACATATAGGATCATTTTACTATAATCTTATTTTGTGTAACTTTTTAATGGTTTGTTGATTCAGTCATGCAGGTAAAAAAAATAAATATTGATTTGATATCAACTCGGAAGTGTGTAATAAATCATAACCAATAGGATTGAAAGAGAAGTTCTTATATTTCTTGATCTACTACTGTGACATTAACTAGAAAAATGGACCTTATTACTAAATCATTGCCAATAATAAATGTATGGTGCACTCTTCGCTACATGCAAAATAACAGGAAATGAATCTCTCTCTCTCTCTCGATTGTTACTATGTAAAGTAAACCTTGCACAGTGTGAATAAAGAAATAAAGTAAACACATTCTTACCCATAACTCATTCCACCAAAATGAAATAGCCAAACTAAAACGAGGACTAGTATAGATAGAACAAGACTAATTGTAAGAGCAATTGTGTAAACAATATGAAAAATTAACATGATCAACGGTAATAGTAGCTGAGGATATTTGAATACAAGTGATTCATTGACACCGTAGTTTTATATGTACTTATATGCTTCTATCTTTAATAGTCTGACGACATATGAAAGAGAATAGATGAGACATAAAAAAAGAATGAATGACTGATTGACGGTAAGATTCAATATAAAGTTGAGCATGAAGAACGAAGCAAAGAAAAAGAAAAGAAACGATTTCTTAATAAAAATAAATGACAGAAAGAAACAAGAAAAGAAAAAAGAATGTTAATGCATTTCTAACAGTTCTATAGACTTTTAAGAGAAAGAGGAAGAAGCAAAAACGGCCATGACAACCGCCTTAATGTTATTATTTTTTCATTGCTGCTATGTACTGTGTTCAAAACATTTCCTTTCATTTCAATTTAAATATTCTTACAAGTAAGATAGAATCAATATAAGTATTCTAATTTTTAAAGAAAATTTTTTCTCGAAATTATTATATCAATTGAAAAAGAACTAATATCAATAATATACTTATTTAGATGTAATCAAATCTAAGCATATACAGATTTTTTTTTCTTTTCGTATTAGTCAGTATTTAGAAATATTAATATCGTGAATAGATTATGCAGATCGATAAGAAAATAGACATCTTATCAGAAAAGAATATTTTTTTTTGTAAGGATTACTATGGATTAATAAACTGATTGTTGTATAGTTTGATTTAATTTTATTAGTAATCTAGTCTTCTGATGCGTAGTACATAATATGCCATTTCCTATATGTGGCTTTGATGATTCATTTTTATTTATGAATCATTCTATACAATTTATGATCTAATATCAAAGGTCGAATCTAAACGTATATTGTCCTTAAGTACAATTTCGATTGAATCATAACTGATTGTTATTATTCACATCATATGCATCTGTTTCGTTAAACGATTAATAAATTTAATTGATTCTCATTGAATCACTTCAAAAACAAATAGACATATGTGGAAAAACAAAAAAAAAATAAATCTTTTATATTCGAATATCTTACCCATAACATAGTCCAAGTAAATGGAATGTAACAAGAAAAATCCAACCACCAACAAGTAAATAACAAAAAATATGTAAAGTAACGTAAAAACCGTCACTATTATTACTTCCAATTCCCAACATCGATAAATAATAGTTATAAAAAATCAAAACTAAACTTTGTAAAGATCACTAATTTCAGGAATGTAAAAAAAATATAACATGATACAAGTAATAAAACGTAAAAAAAGAATACATCGTGTTTCTTTCTATTTGTCAACTTTTGTCGCCCACAAGTTTTGTCTATGTGAAAGCACACATAATAAAAAACGCGTCATCGTTAATACCATGTTATGCGGATTTAAGTCTCGTTCTCGCATTTTTTTTTTCTTCCTCATATTCTATTTGCTTTAAAACGATAGAGGGAACTCTTGACTGGTCTTTTTTTCTATTTTATCATACTAATTCTATTATGTTCAATGGAATCAATAATATTAATATAAAACTTATTTGCTTTTTATGTCTATTTGAAAAACAATAACATGCCAGACAAGGATATATATATCAAATAACATTGTTGTTGTTATTTTACCTAGATATGTTAAGTTAATTCAAAAAAGTACTTTATTATTATTAGAGAAAAATGCTCGTGCTTTGAAGTATTGATTTATTGATAACATTGATGAGATTAAATGTCTATGTCCATACATATTGACATGTTATATTTATTTAAAATGTTAAATATCGTATGTTTTATTATGAAAATATAAGTAATGTTGTTGTCTTGATACTACGAAATTAAAGCTTAAATGATAATCAATATACACGAAGAAATTTGAGAAGAAATATTTTTATACGAAAAAATCTTTTTTTGAAAAGAATAGATTAATTCAAAACATGGAATATGTTAAAAAACAAATTTGATACAAATAGATTATGTTTTTCCTTTGATAATTAATAGTAAAAGATAATGGATCATTAGTTTTGGTACTCGATCAAAAGAAGATCGATCATTTCATATGACAATCTACTTACATGCATGCGCAAGAAGAAAATAAATCAAAAGGATAGTATGATGGATATTTTGTCAAACAAAAGAAGTAAGGAAAATATAACATGATCAAACAAACTATATAAAATATATATCAGTATAATATACGTTGACTGGCAAATCCTGAATAGCCATTGTTCAGTTATATAAAAAATTACCGGCTAAAGCATTCTGAGTTTTACATAATTATGGGATATGATGAAACTTACTAATAATAATTCTGCGCGTATATATTTATTTTGATAAGGATGATGGTTATGTTCAGCAATGTGACAATTCTGATATATGCCGAACGTGTGTATTGTTTTTTTTAACACACAATACTTTGTTATGTCGATCCATTATGAACGATAGATTCAACATTAAATCGGGTCAGAGATTTTAACGGTTTATGCTTAAGAAAAAAAAGGTGTAGTAAATGCTGCTTTACGATAATAATTATTGTCATAAGCTTGACAGTAAACTACAAAATTGTTTATGTAATCAACAGTTTTATAGTAAAAGAAAGATATTAATAATTAGTGATAGAGAACAGCAAACCATACAAACTGAATACAATCGATCTTCAAGTGGGGCGACTTCCACAACAGATGGTTACCAAGTCGGCTCAATTTAGGCAGTGACTGAAATAGGTGCCACAAGAAAAAGGTTTCATTTCTTGATTTGTAGGTAGATACGTGATATCAATCTGATTTTTGTGCTTTGTTTGATCTTCATAATTTACATTTTAATAAATAAATACATGAAAACAAAGATATTGTATATAGACATGTTTTGAATCACACATATGTATATAAAGTTCAATAGAATTCCGTTCCTAGGTAGACTTTAACTTTGAATAAAAAAGAAAGATATAATATTCATCCATTTTCCAAACATAAACGACTAAGTCACTATCTAAGTTAGGAATCAACTGATTTGATATCATACGCTAATCATCTAAAATACAATTGCTGCCTGTAAGATCGGTTTTATGCAGTTTGTATGAGCTTTTGTTTTTAATAGGGCTTCACTAAAGGTAAGCGAGAATACAGAATCTAAAGTTGAAGTTAGATTTATTAATTAATTAAAAACGTCACTGCATTTCTAGCAGTGTCAAACTCAAACGTCGAGTTCAACTATTGACATTCGTTCTTGTGCAAATACCCGTCAATTGTACTTTATGTCATCTTTAAAAGTACTTCTCACTCTTGACAAATAGTAAAATGATTGAAGTAATTGTTGAATTAAAATTTCAACTATTACATATATGTGTAGTCTATAAAAAGAAATGCTTTTTTATTTGATGTTTGAATCAAGAAGAAGTAATACAAACAGAAATTCGTTGATAAATATTTGTTTTATTTCACAACAGTCGGGCTCTATGATTTACTCCTATTATTATAGTGATTACTCAATACTTCTTTATATGTATTAAGATTTTAAATTAAAAGATATTTGCTTAAAATATCTACTGAAAGTTCATTTCAACTTATAAAGCAATATTTTTCTTCGTATGTTTATATCGCATCAATAATCAGTGAGATGACTCGAAATAGAAAATATTAGGTTAAACTGAGCCGACAAAAGAGACACATGAAATGAAAAAAACTGTCCTATGAAATATACAATTGGATATTCTGATAAATTTAGTTAAATTTGTTGATCACCTTCTATACAAGCTTCATCATATTGTTTAACAATTTGTTTTAATTCATCATCAATTTTATATATATGTATTTCATCATTTTCCATTTCCGTATAAAATTTTTGATGAGATGGTTGTACAAGTATTGCTTTATTTAATGGAAAATTAAATGGATCACAATTTATATTATTTCTATAAAAATCTCCATCTGGAATATTACCAAGTGTACAATATTTCATATATGAACATTCAACTGGCATTGATGGTAATGGTTCATTTTTTTCTATTGAACGAGTATTTGTTGCTGAAGATTGTTTATTTGCTGGATAAGTACTTACAGCAAAATATTTTGCTCCTGACATGATTACATTTCGTACAGCTTTCAAACCATTTCGAATATTCATATGTTGAAGTGCATCTCGAACAATAATCAAATCAAATCGATTACCTTTCGTTTCACATATAGAACTTTCATATGTATATGTTGGTATTGGACAATTGACAAGATCCCAATATTGAAATAATTTATTAGAATGTCTTGATGCATACAATTTTTGATTATATTCAATCAATTTTGTTGATATATCACCACCAAAATAAAGTTGTTCAATAGTATTAATATGTTGGAGACTAAATTGCCAAGTTGTATCACCACATGGTATATCAGCTATTGATTGTATTGAATAATGTTTAAAGAATGTTCGTAATTCGTTTATCCAACCATAAGCACCTTCTACTGTTGAACCAAGACCTGATCGACTATAACCTCCAGCCCATCGTCCAGTTTCAAAAATAATATCGAATTCTCTTGAACGATTTTGAGATAATGCATCATTTGGATCAAATTTACATTCACTATCAAGTGAATATGTAATCGAAGAGGAAGAAACAGTATGAATTCGATTATTTTGACGATGTTGAGTTAAATTTGATGATAAAAATGGTATCCATACGATATAGTTTTTATAAAAATGAACGAAGAAATAATATGATGATAATATATAAATTATTATAATTAAGATAATAATTTGAATTCTTTTGTTAGATCGTGCCATAGAACATACTATAAAAATAAAAAAGAACGATTTTTCTTCAAGTAAAATACATAAAGTAGCATAATAAATAATAAGTCGATTTAATGTATTGTATTGATTGCATCGCCGATTTCATACTACAATTTTAACACGCGATAGATCTAAAATAGTTAAAAAAATAATCCAGTTATTAATTCTAATTAAATTTGATCAGTTTATGATATATATTTATATTACTTTAATCGCGTCTATTTATAAATATCATAATCTTTCTTTACCGAATAACTCATTTGTGTGTTCTCGACTGTCGATAGAAAGTAAAACCAAATTTGTCTTTTTCTCTCATGCACCTTTCTTAAAAAAACATTCAACATTTATATGTATAAGTAAAATTGCTGGTTACAATCTCTACTGAAGAAAAAAACGTTTTTCTCTAAAGAAGCAAGCAACGTGAATACTCTGCTTTGTTTAAATTCTTTTTTTCTTGATGTTGCATGATCTACATTACTGTACAGTTCAGTAACAAAAGAATTCCTTCACACACACACGTTTAGTAAACATTATGAGTAGATGACATGTTTTATGCAGTTTTCATTGTAAATATTCGTTTTTTTCAAAAAGAAAAAAATTTCATTGAACTACAATCATAAATTAGTTTATTTAATCATTCTCGCTAACTATACTGTTGTTACAGATCAATGTCTAGTTTTATTTTTATACAATAAATTTAAAGAATAGATGTTGTACGATGAAAATGAGTTGTAAAAATTTTTAGTTTTTTATGTCTCGATTGTTTATTATTTCGTTGATGATTAACTAATGTTATTCCTTTTGATACATCTTCTTTTTTCTTAAATAAATTAATTAAAACTTTTCTTGATAAACGTCGAAATATTGTTGATGATATATAATTAACATAGAACATTGATACATAATTCAAGTAAAAAGCAAGACAAACTATTTCATAATAAAGATTTTCTTGTGCTTGACGATATGTATCTTTAACTACTGATCGTGTTAAATTAGCATAAATAATTTGTATAAGATAAGGTATTGATGATATCATAGAAATAATTATTTGTGAAAATAATATTGATGTTAATTGATGATCAATACGTGTCATACGTGTAGTTAATGCTGCCGATATTGGACTAATACGTTGATGATGAATATGACGAAGATTTCTTAATGTTAATACTCCAAATATACTCATAAAAAACCATGGAAATATTCCATAACAAAATAAATTTATGAAATAAATTAATATATTCGACCATATTATAGATGAACTTGTACAAATTTTTATTATATGTATAGGTTTCATATAAACAAGAGTTGGAATATTGATTAACATCCATAGAATTATTGTTAATAAACAAATTTGTTTAGCTACAAAGAGTGAATTTAAAAGACGCCATTTTATTTGACGACATGTAGATAGATATCTATCTATAGACGTCCATACAAAACAAGATAAAGCTGTTAAAGATGCACAATATGTTATATAATTTCGAATTTTACACCATGCTATATTTGTTAAATCTAAATCAATATTAAAACCTTCAGATAATATTCGAATTAATAAACCAAATATTAATTGAATTAAACTAGCTATAGAACCAGCTAACATATATATACAACATGAACTTAAACGAAAATAATAATGACGAAATATAAGCATATTCCATAGAGAACCAATGATACCAAAAATGAACATTGCTATACCAAGATATATATTAAGTTGTTGTGAAATATAATTTAAAGTTTCACTTGTAGTCATTATTAAAAAAAAGTCCAATGAATTATTCTTCTTTTGAATAATACGGAGCAAAATGAATTGAATCTAAAAATATGAGAATGACTTAAGAAGTAAGTGTATAACAGTAGAACTAAAAATGAACATTTCTGTCATTTTGATTCTAGATTATTATTAATGAGTGCAAAGAATATGACAGATAATTATGACATGCAATGATTTTCTTTATGTGCAAAATACTCTTTGATATGCTCATTTAATACTCATAAAATGGTCACATAAAAATAGATTGAGTTGCATGTGAATTTATGCGATAATAGTTTCTTTTTTTGAGAGATGGAATGACACCTAGAGCTTTAATACTCAGTCAGACAAACAGTAAAAAACAACGCGTTAAAATTTCAATGAAAATCAAGATAAAATTATTTAGTTTTACAAAATTTATATTTCCGATTAGTTTTGATGTTGAATAGAATCTAAATGAGAAATAATATTATTTTATTTTATTCTACAGTTAATATTGAAGAAACTTACGAGTCGTTAGGGAAACATAGAGAATTTATACTCAAAAGTAATATTTATGCTGTCATCCAAGATTTATTATACTGAATCGATATGATTACATCATTAGTAAAGAAATGGAATAGAAGAAGTATGATAAATATTAATCCTTAAAAGCTGACGGATCTTTTTTGAAGATGAGACTTATTAAACAAACTTTGAAAAACATCTAGTGTTCTCTGAGAACCATTTAAAAATGTCTTTTTTGTTGTCTATGAAAGTTTTTCAATATATGTAAGGAGGGACATTCAGCTTTTAAGGGTTAATGTTAGACTGAGGCTGGAGCATAGTCATGAGATTAAGTAGTTTAGACTCCATCTTTGAGCCATAAACTGACTTTGATGAGACTCAAAGTGCCTAAAAAGTATTCGTACCTTTACGTTTTTCGTAGAAGTCAAGAT